CCCATTTATACTTACCTGAAGGTCGGCGAAGCCTGAAGAAGTCCCAATCCAGACGAAACGTCGCGCGAGAGCCACCTGAAACAGAGAAAAAAACATATAGGTTAAAACAACACATACATAAAAAGAACAATACATTAAGCCAAACAACAAAAAACAAAAAAGCCAAAAAAATGGCAAAATAAAAAAAACATAAAAAAACAGCAAAAAGAAGCGGAAATTATACTTGATATAAATTTTACTTTAAGGATAAATAATATTAAATTATAAAATAAATACGTTATTGAATATATACACCGCTCATAAAAACCTAAGTAAGAGAAGATGGGGATGGGGGAGTGGCCATCCACAGGGTGGACAGTGCACCCCGGGGACCACATTAGTGGTTCCTGTTCAGTCCCCTAACCTAACCCCCTAACCCTGACCCTGACCCTGACCCTAGTCTCATCATCTTCGACGATGAGACTCAACTCCTTTCGTCCTAACCCTCAGACTCCCAGGACTCTGGTACAGGACCCCACAGCACCCCCACCAGGTGGGGTTAGAGGAAGGATTTCACTGGTCCGTGAATTTAGAAATTTTCATGAGGTTGATAACTGAGAAACACACTGTTTCATTATCACATTCAAGACTTCCTTTTGATCAGTTTGAGGTCGGATCTATCAGACCTGATCAGATTGGATTGGTGGATTAGAGGAACTGCTCCTGCAGACAGGCATGAAAGCAAACTTTCTTCTGCCGCTGTTTCTCAAATTAGACTCAGCGCTGGACTGTGGAGTGCACAGTTTCCTGTTTCATCTAAAGTCAGTTGGAAAACTGACACACAAAATTCAAACATTATGAATTAACAAATGGTTCAGTTTCACTTTCACTGCACTCTGCTGCTCCGTCTGTGCCCAGAGTACACTCCACCACGAGAGTCAGACCAAGACTTCAAAACCAGAAAATCTGTATGCACTGGTGTATGATAATGATGATGATGTGGAGGTGTGCCACAAATAAATGAATAAATAAATGTGTGAGAAACTTTGGTAAATAACCTAAATGTGGTGTAATTTATTAGAAATACACCTCCCTATACAAACACTGTTAAAGGACCCAGAAATATTCTAATACACCAGTTTATACTGCATGAATGACATGACATGTTTTGGGGATTTTTCCCTACAAACTGTGTGGGCATGTCTGTAAAGGGGGAAGTTGTGCGTGAAGCTCGTCCTTTTTCCAAACAGCTGGTTGGTGTGACAAGATGCCTCAGGGTGGGGGTGAGGAGGAGGAGGAGGAGGAGGAGGAGTAGGAGGAGGAGTCAGTTAGTTAGTCCCTTGGGGTAAAGTCTTCACAGAGGGAGGGACACAGTCATTGTGACCAGAAACAGGAGAACAGAAAACTTCAACTAAAGAAGCTAAACAAGCTAAAAGGGCTCCTCCTTCAGTCTGCTGATCTGTGAGTTTCATCATTCAGATTTCAACTGTTTCTGAAACTGTGGACGGACAGACAGACAGACAGACAGACAGACACACACACACACACAGACAGACAGAAAGACACAGACAGACAGACAGACAGACAGACAGGGAGAGAGACAGACAGACAGACAGACAGACAGACAGACACACACACACACACACACACATAGACATGTAAACAAAGCCTCCCATCATGGACAGGTGAGTACTGCATTAATGTCTTGTGTCTTCAAACTGACATTTGTCTGTTACTGATCTGATTTGGTGATGTCATCATCGTGATGATGTCATCACTGCCTGGATTATTTTTCTTTAACTCCAGATTTATGTGTCATGTCGGTTCCAGACAGCTAGTGAGTTTTTGTGACTTGTCACTCATTTAAAATGAGTTGAACAAAAATTCAGGGCCGACACCGACACAAACTGTGATCATAGATAAAGTTTAATTGAATATCAGAGACGTGTGAGCAGCTAAACTTTAAGAAATGATGATTTCTGGATGTTTATTCTGAGGTAACAAGGACTGACATCAACGTGTGTTTTCTGTCTTCTGTTCTTTTATGTTGAAGTATTTTTACTCTTCATCTGAGTACTCAGAGTACTCTGAGTCGTGACTGAAGGAAGTATCCCAGAGTATAGATAGTCTGATACAAGTAAAGTCCTGCATTTAAAATGTTACTGCTGTAAAAGTACAAAAGTATTTTTGTACAAAAAGAATCAAAAGTATATTTTATATAATTAATATAATAATAATTTATAATATTATCAGAACAAAATGAACCGACATGTTTTCAAACTACAAACACTTGGTCAGTGATGTAACATGATGTAACGTCATGTGACCTCCATCACTGATGTACTGCAGTACTTTACTGATGTATTTAGTCTCTGTGACAGACAGAAGGTCAGAGGTCAGATGTGGGCAGAGCCTAAATCATCTTCTTCTCTTTGAACTGAAGCTTTTTAATTAAAGGTTAGCGTTAGCATTAGCGTTAGCTGTTAGTGGCTGACCAGATGTGGGAGCTGTGATTGGCTGCCAGCTCTGAGCTGTAATTAAACTCAAAGATTACAGACTCCAGTTTGTGTGTGTGTGTGTGTGTGTGTGTGTGTGTGTGTGGTCAGTCATGAAAGTCTGTATTTGTGAGGACTCTGTTCCTCAAAGACTGTTTGAAGCTGATGATTAGTGTGTGTGTGTGTGTGTGTGTGTGTGTGTGTGTGTGTGTGATCAATGATGAATGGCACTTCCACTCATCTTCTCACAGTGAAACATTTTCATCATTGTGAATTCTACTTCCTGTTTTAAAACATCGAACATGGTGATGTCGGAATAAAAATCATCTGTTGGTCACATTATTCATTTTTATGTAAAATACTTTCTGATCTGAATCTGAGTCTCCTGAACATCTGCAGCTCCTCATATTTTATCAAACACGAAACCAACATGGGACATCACAGGTGTGACAGAAGCTTCAGTCGTCTTCATGTCCCGTTTTGGTCCTACACAGACATTTTATGTTTCATGACACTGAATCATTTCAGTAACATGTTTACGTGACATCACAGAGTCTCGTCACAAATTAACAGATTTCTTTCATCAAATGTTTTAAAATAAAAAACAAAAATCTACCATGAATTTAAATCTTTAGAAATACTAAAACATATTTTCTATAACTTGTATCTCTGCGTTTTTCCGTCTAAACTCCATACTGAGAAGATAAGACATCACAGATTTAAAGTGTCCAGTCAGGAGGATGGAGGTGGTGAATGCAGGGTGCATGCTGGGTAGTTTTGTCTCAGTGAAAGCCACCATTGACCAAATCAGTTTACAACCCATTGAAATGCAGCGGGGGAAGTGAGCAGTCAACATGTCAATGAATCAGCCTGAGTTAACTGCTGCTTTTCATTATCATGTGTCCTTCATCGTGGTGATGGCGGGTTTCTATTCTGTGATGATGTCACCAGCATCAGACAGTTATAAAAATACCACAGATAAGTATATGTTGTTCTGATGGACGATTGTGCAAAGCTCCATCTGCACGCCATCAGGCATGTTGGACACTGACACACTGTGGTCACTTATAACTCCCTGAGTAAGCCTCGATCTGACCTCGTGTCACAAACCGTCTGTGTGTAGGTTTGTTTTTTTTAACATATTATAAATGTAAACATCTTTGACCATGTCGTTGTCCTGCTGTAATTTAATTTGAAAAAATCAGCTGTTTATTGTGAACACGAGACGTCAAGTTGGCCTGGAGGTCAGCAGAGTGTGAGAATGGCTGCCTCGCCAGCTCATCTAACATAAATAAATCACTCATGACTTTAACAACCGTTGAAATCACAGCGAGACGTCTAAACAGGAAGTTCATTCAGCTTCTCTTCCTGTCACACCGTTTGTGCTTCATCACTTTAATTTGTTTTACAGAGGAAAAAAAAGGGTCAGGACGGTCGAGAGGCTGCTGAGAGACAAAAGAGACGGGGGGGAGGGGGGGTCAAAGAGGAGGAGGAGGAGGAGGAGGAGGAGGAGGAGTGTTGTGAAACAGAGGTTAATGAAGTTCAAGTCCAGCAGTGTTTATAAGAATGTTTCAGCTGTAAGCAATGAAGCAACAGGATCTCTCTGTCCATCGTGTCCTCTGACCTTAGCACACAGCTGAAGCTTCCTGTTTATACTGGAGGACAGTTCGTCCGTGGACAGTTCGTCCGTGGACAGTTTGTCTGTGGACAGTTTTCTATTTTATAGAAAAAATATAGTTACTATATAAACATATGCTAATGAATACAAGAATGGTATAAATATATATGTTTATACCATATANATAAAGTTACTGTATTAACATATGTTAATAAATATGATAAATATGTATCTATCCATCTGATGTTACACACAGACATTTAAAACACAGCAAAGATCCAGAGGACAGTTAAAACAACATAAAACACAGACATGAACAGGTACACACAGGCTCACTGATCAGGATTAAAAGCAGAATAATAAGAACCACTAAAATGCTTCCTACAGCGTGTGGTCTTAGATCTTGGGACTTTAAATCTCCGTACAGATAGCAGGAGCTGGAGCTTACTGGCCAGGGGATGGGAGTCATCATTAGAAATGGAGCTGGTCAGCCTGATGCACAGCGACTGTAGGCACAGCTGTGACTCCCCGATCAGCCAACTAGCCCATTTGGTTATCTGGTTAAGAGAGTTCCTTTCTTTTAAGGGAAGTTTTCCAAACCATGACACAAGTGAAAACGATGGAACAGATTCTATAACAGAAATATAGTTACTATATTAACATACGTTAATCAATATTATAACTATGTAAACATTTATTAATACATATAATAACTACAGTATGTAAACAGCAGAGTTGGGTATGACGTTACGAAGTAACGCGTTAGAGTACTTTGATTACTTTTTACAGTAACGAATAACCTAACGCGTTAGTTTGCTGTTTGAGTAATCAAATACTTAAGTACATTTTCAAACAAGACATCAGTTACTTCCATTACTTTTAGAACGCTGGTCCTTCGGCTCCAAAACAGCAACGGCTGTCGTTTGGTTCTAATAATGGAGATAACGTTAAACCTATCAGTCTGAAAGAAGCCACGGAGCTTGTGGCTCGCTACGTGGTCAGAGAAATGCTGCCGTTGTCTACGGTAGAGTCTAAATAGGTGGAGCAGGACTCGCTGACAGACATATTTCAGACTCAGAACTTGCATTATGCCTGGTACACGCTACACACTGGTACTCACCAATTATCCCCGGTCATCTTTCACGGCGTGTGTGATGTCATCGGGTTATTCTTGTCCTATTTTTATTACTGTCACTGTTATTTGAGTCACTGTGTGTGTTCATGTGCCAGCCGACATGTTGTTGTAGTCACCTAAAAGCGTCAGCAGATGGCAGGAGCTACATTTGAAGCGCCATATGTAAACTGTCACGCTACTGTATCTTCCACAGGAAGTTCTGACAAATGTTTCACAATAAAAGCCTACTTTGAAAATGAAGGGATTCTCTCAGCCACGGTTATAAGGGCATTTAATTTGAAAGGAATGCAGGAAGTGTTGAGTTTGAAATGACGGTGTGATATGTTAACTTTACAAAGACAACGGAGCGGATAAAAAGTAAATATATAAACACACACAGGGATTAATAAATAACGGACCGTCTATAATGTAGTTTGTTTCAAATGAAGCTGGGAGCCTCTGCAGTTGTGGTGAGTAAAAGCCCCGCCGCTATTTGTTAATGTTATTACTTTATGTCCAACCGTGAGGATGTATCATTGTTTGCTAGCTTGATATCTTGAGCTTAGAGCCCTGTGGTCCATTGCAAATTAGGAAATGTAGAATACTCAAAAGTACTTTAAAAGTGCTTGAGTTACTTTTCTCAGGGAGTAACATTGGAAGTACTTTTAAAGTAATTGAATTACTTTACTCAGGGAGTAACGCAGTAAAGTAACTGGTTACTTTTCAAAAAAGTAACGTACTTTGATTACTTTTAAAGTAACCCTTACACAACACTGGTAAACATACATAAATGAATAAAGTTACCATGTTAACATATGCAAATAAATATAGCCTATAAACATTTATTAATAAATATAATAACTATATGAACATATATAAATAAATATAGTTACTATAGTCTGACCCTAAACCACTAGAAAATGTGCTCTGTGTTTGGATTATAAAGACCAGTAGATCGGTGTTGGCTGTCAGTAATCAGCCACAGCTAACATAGCTAACGTGATTGATGGTGAACCTTTTATTTTGCCTGGATCAGACAGGAAGCGATTTAAACACAGATTATACAACATAAACACAGAACAGGTTTTCTCATGGTTCCTCTCAGTGCTCACAGTTACTGTTTTCTCTTGTGATTAAAGAGCTGTTGATAAACTGACAGTGTTAGCAGGCTAGCGCATCAGTAAGTTAAAACGTGTCTACTTCCATGTCACATTATGTTTTACAGAGACGTCTGAAGTATTAACCAGGAAAACTACATTTATGTTTGATAGGTATTTACAGTTCTTTATGACAAACTATTTCACATCACGTCAATAATTCAGTTGATTTCAGTCTAACACACACTCCTCTCCTGAGTGTCCAGATTATAGACTAAATATTCAAATTAAAATCAGCTGGAGACAAAACTTTATTTTCTACATGTAGATCATAAACTCACAGATATAAAAATGACACAGAGTCCAGCCTCTAATCTGGGATTTTAATCTGTTGTTTCAGGGTTTCAGGTTGAGATGTTCTGGCTCAGGATGACTTCCTGTCTGTTGTCCCTCCTTTTTCCTTTGGTGTCCTCCATCATGGCCACCGACCAACCCGCAGGCTGCAAAATCCGCATCACTGACAAAGGACTGGAGATGTGTAAGTACCACTATGTTAATCGTAAGTGCTATATCATAGCCAACTGGACTTGTTTGCCTTACGATATAGCACTTACGATTACCACGACCTGAATGACTGATAATCTTCAACAACAAGTTACCTCTATGTTATTATAATCCATAAGTAAACAAAGACCTAAACCCATCTAAACTATAACCCAGATTTATAATCCAGATCTAAACTACAATCCAAATTGATAATCCAGATCTAAACTATTATCCAGATTTATAATCCAGATCTAAACTACAATCCAGATTTATAATCCAGATCTAAACTATGATCCACATTTATAATTCAGATCTAAACTATGGTCCAGATTTAATTCAGATCTAAACTGTGATCCAGATTTATAATTCAGATCTAAACTATGGTCCAGATTTAATTCAGATCTAAACTGTGATCCAGATTTATAATCCAGATCTAAACTATGATCAGATTTATAATCCAGATCTAAACTATTATCCAGATTTATAATTCAGATCTAAACTATCATCCAGATTTAATTCAGCTCTAAACTATTATCCAGATTTATAATTCAGATCTAAACTATGATCCAGATTTAATCCAGATCTAAACTACAATCCACATTTATAATCCAGATCTTAGCTATGATCCAGATTTAATTCAGATCTAAACTGTGATCCAGATTTATAATCCAGATCTCAACTATAATCCAGATTTATAATCCAGATCTAAACTACAAGCCAGATTTAATTCAGATCTAAACTATGATCCAGCCTCTCTCTTGCTACAGTTTCAACACGAGCAGCATCCTGTGCTCACTGAATGGAGGGATTACAGTTCAGGTGTCGTCTTCACAAAGATGACACCTGAAGAAAATACTGGATGTTAACTGTGTGAAATAATAACAACCAAATATATGTTTCCATCATATATTTATATGTTGTTTCACAGTCAAGCCTCCGTTTAATGGAGTCCTGTCATTGTGCTTATTTATGGATCGATAATCTCCTATCCGATTAACCTATGAGAGATTGTTCTTTGTATGTAGGAGGGTATTTCATTTTTTTAATCTGTTGTACCGAGACCGTTTGATTCTAATGACGACACATTGCACGTTGAAACATTTGTCATTTTGCACCTTATTAAACGTTTCAGTGAATCATGATTCTGTTCTATGAAAACACGGCACACACTCAGACAGCAGTAATTGCTTTCAGTCATCACCTCTGACCCACTCTGTGTTCACTGCCTGGACTTAACAACTTTATTCTTTTTGTCTGTGTTCAGGACATTTATGGACAGGTACCACCACAGCACTCAGGTGAGGGTGGTGCTTTATAAAATGGTGGTGACCAGTGCAGAAATGAACTCAAATATATCAAGAGGAGAGACAAACCAGACCAAATCTGAGGTCGACTTCAGAGTGACCAACAATCCTGCAGAGTAAACCTTTAATCAATTTTCCAGATTAAGTTATAATCCAGATTTAAACTGTCATAAACTTTACATCCGCTGAACCGTAATGCAGATTAAATTATAATCCAGATTTAACTGCAATCATAATCCAGATTAAATTATAATCAGATTACATTATGATCCATATTGAATTATAATCAGGTTACATTATAATCCAGATTAAATTATTATCAGATTACATTATAATCCAGAATAAATAATAATCAGATTACATTATAATCCAGAACAAATAACAATCCAGGTTTAATTATAATCCAGATTTAATTATACTCAGATTTAAACACTGATGTGGAACCTAAGGAATTTTAGAGCAGCTGCAGGTCTGCAGTTTGCTCGTGAGTCTAAAACCTGTGATGTCATGAACCAGGAAGTTTGAACTGAACGAATTAAAACATCCTCTGGTCAAACATCCAATCAGAAAAACTCTGCAGTATCTTCAACAACCATGAGTGTCTCCAGCTATTGGTCTGATCCATTTCATCTATCTGGAGTACCAGTAGTATTCTTTTAAAGTACTGTTAATGTGAATTGTATGTTTTCATTACAGGTGTGTACTGTGTGTTTTTATTACAGGGGTGTATACTGTGTGTTTTTATTGCATAGGTACCCACGTGACTGACTGTTTACTCACCTCACCTACTCACACACACACACAGGTCCCTCCCTCTTCTTCTACTGTGCCTTCTCAGTGTACCACTGTCTCCATCTACTCCCCCTACAGGCCCCTGCTGTCACTACACCCCTCTGCTACTGCTGCTGCTTTCCCCATTGCGACCATTGTAACTGTCAGACCTTTCCGCCCTCAGTCCACTTTCAAAGCTGTAAATAAAAATAACCTCTCCTACATAAAACTGAGTGCCTCTGCCTCCTCATCTCACAAGCATGAAAACACCAATGACAATTTCAGACTGTTAAATAGCCGCTCACTCATGAGCAAGGTTCAGCTCATACAGGATCTCATCACGGACCATAAGCTTGATTTTCTCTGTTTAACAGAAACGTGGCAACTGCCTAATGATTTTACTCCACTTAATCAATCCACTCCCCCGGATTTATTTACAGCTGTCGACCGCGTGACTCTGGCAAGGGAGGAGGTCTCACAATGTTCTATCGTGAGAAGTGGAAAGTCCTGCCGGTTTCTACCCATGCCTACCACACATTTCAATCCATCACCTCACAGTTATCTGACCCCATCCCCACCATCGTTGCCACCGTGTACCGTCCCCCTAAACCAAATAAGGAGTTTTTAAATGACTTTGCTCAACTCCTGACACATCTTTCCACACTCTCTCCAAACATATTACTCCTGGGTGACTTTAATATCCACATGGACAATATCAGCAATGCTCTCACCAGAAATTTTACATCTTGCATTGACAGTTTTGTACTCCAGCAACTCATCAACTTCCCAACACATTCAAAAGGACATACTCTCGATTTAATATGCTGCTCTGGTCTCTCTCCTGTCAACTGTAAGGCAATTCCCCTCCCCTTTTCTGATCACGTTCCTTCAATGCCAACCTTGGACTTTCCAAAATCAATCTCCCACGCATTATTTCTTTCCGTAATATTAAGGACATTAATTTGGACATTCTTTCCTCTGGCATTAACTCCCTCCCCAACGCAGACAGCTTTTCCACCCCTGATGAACTGGTACTCCATTACAACAACACTCTTCATAATTGTAACATAACTGTTTTTCCTTATCCGCTGCGAGAGTCTTAAGGACAGAGGGAAGTCAGGAAAGCTCAGGAAGACCAACTGAGGAGGGATCCCTACAGATCAACATGATAAATTAACAGTAAACCTTATGACACAACAATTGGTGGGGCGGCAGTAGCTCAGTCCATAGGGACTTGGGTTGGGAACCGGAGGGTCGCCTGTTCGAGTCCCTGTCCCTGTAAAATATGGAACGTGGATTAGTGGCTGGAGAGGTGCCAGTTCACCTCCTGGGCACTGCCAAGGTGCCCTTGAGCAAGGCACCGAATCCCCCAACCATTCGGGGGCCTCACCAAGGGCAGCCCCCTCACTCTGACATCTCTCCAATTTGTGCATGTATAGGTCCTGTTTGTGCATGTGTGTGTTCAGACCTGTGTGTAATTGACAAGCAAGAGTGAAAACATTGAATTTCCCCTCAGGGGGATTAATAAAGTAAATAAACTAAACTAACTAACAATGAGACAGAAAGACAGACAGAGACAGAGAGAGATGCAGGACAGATGGTAATGACAGTAGCTTACAACAACATTAATGAAAGTAATAATATTATAATTATAATTCTGGCTACTGTGGTACAATGTGTTGAAAGTATGTATTAATATCTGGCAGTATACATGTGTGACAATAGTCATATGTGTATAATAACAGTAGAAGTATGACTAATGACTAATGATGGCAGCAGCAGCAGGAGGCATCTGGCAGGACCACGGCAGCAGCAGCACAACCACACACGTCACGCTGTCCAGGCACCGCTGTGATATGAGTTAATCTGAGAGACAGTGGAGCACAAAGGCTCCGGAGAAGAAGCCGAGTTAGTGACATCCAGAATGGCCGAGTTAGCAAGATGCAGTAATAGAATACGAGAGAGAGAGAGAGAGAGAGAGAGAAGGTGCCTGGTGTATTATAGGGGGGTCCCCCGGCAGACTAGGCCTAAGTCAGCCTAACTAGGGGCTGGTACAAGGCAAGCCTGAGCCAGCCCTAACTATAAGCTTTATCAAAGAGGAAAGTCTTAAGTCTAGTCTTAAATGTGGAGATGGTGTCTGCCTCCCGGACCGTAACAGGAAGATGATTCCACAGGAGAGGAGCCTGATAGCTGAAGGCTCTGGCTCCTGATCTACTTTTGGAGACTTTAGGGACCACGAGTAACCCTGCGTTCTCAGAGCGCAGTGTTCTGGTGGGATAATATGGCACTATGAGCTCTCTAAGATATGACGGAGCTTGACCATTTAGAGCTTTATAAGTTAACAGTAGGATTTTAAATTCAATTCTGGATTTTACAGGGAGCCAGTGCAGAGAAGCTAAAACAGGAGAAATATGATCTCGTTTCTTAGTTCCTGTTAGTACACGTGCTGCTGCATTCTGAATTAACTTTTAAAGGACTTAGTAGAGCTACCTGATAATAGAGAGTTACCGTAATCCAGCCTTGAGGTAACAAAAGCGTGGACCAATTTTTCTGCATCTTTTCGGGTCAGGATAGGCCTAATTTTCGCAATATTACGCAGATGAAAAAATGCAGTCCATGAGGTTTGTTTTAAATGAGAAATAAAAGACAAATCTTGATCAAATGTTACTCCGAGGTTTCTTACGGTAGTGCTAGAGGCCAGAGCAATGCCATCTAGACAAACTATGTCATCAGATAAAGGCCCAATCCCAATTCCTATCTTAACCCTCAATCTTAATTCTCAAGCTCAACCCTCAATCTCACTAGCCCTCAAAACCAAGTGTTAAGGGCTATCTTGTGACTTTAAAATGGAACACCCCTCAAAGGCAAATACGTCTTAAGACTGTCGGGGGCAGCAATATGCCAAAACTCCATCCAGTCCGTCTGTTCAAAGAAGAAGAAATGTATGTCATCAGTAGTCATTGATAAAAAGACGTGATGAGTTTTTTTCCCCAACACTTTATTTCAGTTCTTGTACAAAACAAGCAGTGACAGACATGAACAGAACAAATATGCCAGGGTTAAGAGAAAAGAAAAAGACATAAAATAAACAAATAAATAAATAAAAAAGTTCAGCAGCTCAAACAATTAAATTGTTTACATATTTTCAGAGTCTTTATAGCTTTGGAGTTTGTGGAGTGCTGAATGGTTTCCAAGTATTGCTGCATTTCATTCATAAAAATTTTGAACAAGGGTTTTCTGTTAAAAAATTTTCTCTTATGAATATCGAATTTCGCTAAAATAATAGATAAATGATATAGAATTGTTTTTGTTTTGAAATGCTGACATCATAAAATCCAAACAGCACATCTTTGTACAGTAGTGACAATAGAACATAAATGTTGCAACGAATATACTCAACAAAATCTTTCCAAAAAGTGACAGTATAGGGGCAGCTCCAAAACAAATGTACAGTTACCAAACAACAATCTTTGACAATGCCATCTGCAGCTGTGCTGATTTCATATTGAAACAGAATGCTTGATCATTAGGGGAAGAGTTGCCGTTGTGACTGAGAATTATGTTATGAATGTGAACAGTTCACATGTTACAAATTACTCACTCCCATAGTTTTTTTGTAGCCTGCTTGTATTTTGTAAACTTGTCTTCATTGGTGGCCCTGAAATGAATCAGGGCTTGTGTTTTCTCTGGTGGCCCTGAAATGGAACAGAGATAACATTACTTTCTTATATTTTTTTACTTTTTTGGGCTACCTGTCAGATATTCGTTAAGTTATTAGTTTAGTTTTCATATAGTATTGCAAGTATTATCACAATGAATACTGTAGTCAACATCCAGCAGAACTGGTGAGGCTGTTTACATGGTCACACAAGTGTTATCTGGTGACTTTCATCCACGTTAACGTTTCACTCTTTGGGTTATAAGTTGATATTCAACCAAATAACCTGTACCACAACAACCGACGTAACTTATTCAGCGGAAAGTCACCACATATTACGATCACTAATGTTAACCTGCAGCTGTAACGTTACCAGCTGCAGACTCTATGGCTACAAGAGATGACACCGTCCGGTCATCTTACAAAAATGTCAATGCAAACATTTCACATATATTAAAACAACCTAACAACTACATTATCACTGAGAAAAGACTTTTGTAACTGAATGACAGCATACTCGGTTATCAGAGAACCGGGGTTACGTGCAGCGGGGCAGGCAAGCCGTCGCCCGCGACCAAAAATATGTGTGTTACGCTACAAAGAGGTCTATAGTCCATAAAATGACGTTAAACTAAGATAATGCAATGGTTATCATAATTTTAAAACAACTATTAACAAGGAAAATACATTGATGACTCTGCTTCCTTACGCTTGTCGCCACCATCTTGCACTGACTGAATCGTCTATACTCGGCTGGGTTTGGCTGAGCTCGGCGGATGATACACAAAGGATTCTGGGATAGCACTTACTGCCAAGGGTGGTCCTGGAAAATCTTAAAAGTGAGGGCCATACAGCCCTTATTCTTGGCCCTCAACTCAACACTCTGAGAATCGGGACAGCACTAGCACTTCGCAGGAGCACGGATTTTTGAGACTGAGGGTTAAGATTGAGGGTTAAGATAGGAATTGGGATTGGGCCAAAGAGTCTCTGGGGCCAAGAACAATAACTTCAGTTTTGTCTGAATTTAACATCAGGAAATTGGTGCTCATCCAGGTTTTTATGTCTTTAAGGCAATTAAGAAGTTTAGTTAATTGATTACTTTCTTCTGGCTTCATAGATAAATACAACTGTGTATCATTCGCATAACAATGGAAATTTACAGAGTGATTTCTAATGATGTTACCTAAAGGAAGCTTATATACAGTAAATAGGATTGGTCCGAGCACAGAACCTTGTGGAACTCCAAAACAAACTTTAGTATGTAAGAATGATTCATTATGAACGTGAGCAAACTGAAAACGCTCAGATAAATAAGATTTAAACCAGCTTAGTGCAGAACCTTTTAGGCCAATTAAGTGTTCCAGTCTCTGTAGCAGAATTTGATGGTCAGTTATGTCAAACGCTGCACTAAGATCTAATAAAACAAGTACAGAGATGAGTCCTTTGTCTGAAGCAATCAGAAGGTCATTTGTAATTTTAACTAGTGCTGTCTCAGTGCTATGATGCACTCTAAATCCTGACTGAAATTCCTCAAATAAATTATTATCATGGAGAAAATCACACAGCTGGTCTGCGACTACTTTCTCAAGGCTCTTTGAAAGAAAGGGAAGATTAGATATTGGTCAATAGTTGGCTAACACCTCTGGATCCAGGGTGGGCTTTTTTAGTAGAGGTTTAATTACAGCTACCTTAAAAGACTGTGGTACATAGTCTGTTAATAAGGATATATTGATCATATCTAATATATGAGTGTTAACTAAAGGTAAGACCTCCTTAAGTAGCCTAATTGGGATGGGGTCTAAGAGACACGTTGATGATTTAGATGAAGAAATCACTGCGGTCAATTCTTGAAGAGAAATTGGAGAGAAGCAGTCTAAATATATTAGGTTTACAGCTGTGTTTGAGGTTTGCTCTACCATCTGTTTTCGAAACCAGTAGTCTGATCAAAAAATCCAAATCATCAACCTGCCAGTTAGATCCCCTTCTAACTGTTCTTGTTAAAGCCACCGTTCCCTCTCTGGCCCCTCTCATCACGCACATAATCCATTCTTCCCTCACCACTGGAATTGTTCCCTCACCCCTCAAAACAGCTGCTGTCACCCCAATACTCAAGAAACCTGACACAGATCCCAGTAACCACAATAACCTCCGTCCCATCTCCAATTTTCCATTTCTCTCAAAGATACTTGAAAAAACTGTTGCCTCTCAGCTCCATTACCACCTTTCACGCAATAATCTTTTTGAACAATTCCAGTCAGGTTTCCGCCCTCTCCACAGTACTGAAACGGCACTTCTCAAAATCACCAACGATCTCCTCCTGGCAGCCGATTCCGGTCTCCTATCCATCCTCATCTTGCTTGACCTGAGTGCAGCATTCGACACCATCTCACACACCACCATCCTGAACAGACTCCTCTCTATTGGCATCACACACACACACCCCTCAACTGGTTCAAATCCTACCTCTCCGGCCGCTCTCAGTTCATCCAACTCAAATCATTCACATCACAACCACTTCCAGTCACCACAGGTGTGCCCCAGGGCTCTGTCCTGGGGCCCCTGCTATTCATCATTTACTTACTTCCCCTTGGCTCATACGCGAATGACACCCAGCTCCATATTTCCACCAAACCCGACTCCACCCTCCCACCTTCTTCCCTCACTGACTGCCTCCTTGAAATAAAATCCTGGTTTTCATCAAACTTCCTTAAATTAAACAGCGACAAAAAATAAATTCTATTCATTGGCACTAAAACCACCCTATCCAAATCCCCCAGTTTCACATTATCTATTGACAACTTCCATTTCTCCTTCCCCACAGGTCAAGAGTCTGGGTGTCATCCTCGACAGCACACTTTCTTACACTTCTCATATCAACCACATAACCTGGTCAGCTTACTTCCATCTCCGCAACATCAACCGCCTCCACCGCTCTCTCACACCTCACACAGCTGCCATTCTGGTCCACAGTCTCGTCACCTCCTGGCTTGACTACTGCAACTCCCTCCTGTTCGGTCTTCCACAAAAAACTCTCCATAAACTACAACTAGTACAGAATTCAGCAGCTCATATCATCACAAGGACCCCATCCACTCACCACATCACACCCGTCCTGCAGCAGCTCCACTGGCTCCCCATCACACACCGTATCCAATACAAGATTTTACTGCTCACCTTCAAGGCCATTCACAACCTCGCCCCTCCATACCTGTCTGACCTCCTCCACATTGCCACACCCGCACACACACTCAGATCCTCTTCCTCTATCCATCTCTCTGTTCCCCCCGCCCACCTGGCTACCATGGGGAGCAGAGCATTCAGCCGCTCTGCTCCCCAGCTCTGGAATTCACTCCCCCCTGACCTCTGCAACACCACATCTGTCAATCTGTTCAAATCCAAACTCAAAACACATCTGTTCAGACTTGCCCATTCCACCTGATCAAATGCACTATGTTCTATGTGTCTTTCCCTTTATTTTAATGTATTTGTATGATGTTTTGTATGCTGTGTGTCTTGTTTGATGTATGCATTTTTATTTTTGCTGTAAGGCGACCTTGAGTGGCTTGAAAGGCGCCCTAACAAATGAAATGCATTATTATTATTATTATTATTATTATTATTATTATCATTATTATTATTATAGGTGTGTACTCTGTGTTTCTATTACACGGGTGTGTACTGTGTGTAGTACTACAGGTGTTTTTATGATCACATCTGTTTTGTGTTTCAGTGAAGTCTGAGACTGAGAAGTTTGTTGAAGAGGAGCTTAGTAACATCAGTATGCCGGAGATGAAGGGCACAGAAGGACGTTTCCAATACACCATCACTGAGTACAACTATAACTCTGTGTTTATAGTGACACTCTGATACTGAATGTATTAATTTAGTAGTGTAGTAGTAGTGTAGCAGTGTAGTACAGCAATATTCATGTTGAAGTGTAGTATTAGTTGAGTAGTGTAGTATTAATGTAGTAGTGCAGTAGTAGTGTAGTAGTAGTGTAGTGGTGTAGTAGTAGTAGTAGTACTGTTGTTGTGTAGTATCAATGTAGTAATATAGTTTAGTAGTGTGGTATTCATGTAGTAGTGTCATAGTGGATTAGTGTATAATTAGTGTACTATTAATATAGTAGTTCAGTATCAATGTTGAAGTGTAGTATTGATGTTTAAGTGTAGTATTGATGTAGTAGTGTAGTATTAATGTTGAAATGTAGTATTAATGTTGAAGTGTAGTCTCAATGTTGAAGTGTAGTATTGATGTTGAAGTGTAGTATTAATTCTGAAGTGTAGTATTAGTTCAGTAGTGTAGTGTTAATCACTCAATCAATCAATCAATTTTATTTATGAAGCCCAATATCACAAATCACAATTTGCTTTACAGCATATGAAATCCCTCTGCCCTTTGGACCCTCACAGCGGATAAGGCAGTAGTGTAGGAGTAGTGTAGTAATGTAGTAGTAGTGTAGCGGTGTAGTAGTAGTAGTACTGTTTTAGTAATGTAGTTGTGTAGTATCAATGTAGTAATATTATAGTTTAGTCATGTGGTATTCATGTAGTAGTGTCGTAGTGGATAGTGTACAATTATTGTAGTATTAATGTAGTAGTGTTATAGTAGTGTAGAACAGTTAGTACACTAACATTAATGTTGAATTGTAGTATTAATGTTGAAGTGTAGTATCAATGTTGACGTGTAGTATTGATGTTGAAGTGTAGCATTAATGTAGTAGTGTAGTATTAATATTGAAGTGTAGTATTAATGTAGTAGTGTAGTATTAATTCTGAAGTGTAGTATTAATGTTGCAGTGTAGTATTAATGTTGAAGTGTAGTATTAATGTAGTTGCGTGGTATTAATGTAGTAGTGTAGTGTTAATGTTGAAATGTAGTATTAATGTGGAAGTGTAGTGTCAGTGTTGAAGTGTAGTATTAATGTTAACGTGTAGTATCAATGTTGAAGTGTAGTATTAATGTTGAAGTGTAGAATTAATGTTGAAGTGTAGTATTAATGTAGTAGTGTAGTACTAATGTTGAAGTGTAGAATTAATGTTGAAGTGTAGTATTAATGTAGTAGTGTAGTATTAATGTTGAAGTGTAGTATTAATGTAGTTGTGTGGTAATAATGTAGTTGTGTAGTATTAATGTAGTAGTATAGTATTAATATTAAAGTGTAGTATTAATGTAGTAGTGTAGTATTAATGTAGTTGTGTGGTATTTATGTTGAAGTGTGGTATCAGTGTTGAAGTGTAATATTAAAGGGAAATTTCAGTTTATTTCAACCTGTCTCCTATCGTCCTAAATTTGTTTCAAGTCACTAGTGACATAGAAATAATAGTTAGCATGTTAGCCGTTAGCCTACATACAGCCGTAGCGTCAGACCTGTTAAAATGTAGTTGAACGGGCATCCTTTCAAGTGCAAAGTTAGTCCACTAAACAAGCTTTTTCTCCACAAAGACCGCCTCATATCGTTAGGATAAATGTCAGAGAACATATAGAAAACGACATGTAAACGTGTTGTCTTACCTTACCGGTGTGGTGCCATGTTTGTTGTTTACCATTTAGCTAAGGCTGCAACTGGTCCCATTCCTTGCAACAGAGGTATTCCTCTTCTGTGGGCACTGGGGTACAGCATTCACAGGTAACGTTACACCACCAATCTCCAGAGCTAAAGCCTTCCAGCAGCCATTCCTCCTCTGTCGTCCTCTACCTGTTGTGCCTCTCTCTCTCTCCTCCTCCGTTCTTCAATTTCACGAAGCTCTTCGTCAGTGTATTCTGGCTCAAATAAATAAGGGCGGCCAAAAAACTCTGAAAAATCAAATTCCTCCTCCACAAAGTCGAAGTCTGGCAAAAAGTCAGCCATTATTCTATAAATCTTTAATAAAATAAATGAATGAACTTTTCAAGATACTGGGTTAGGGTTAGGGTCGCTGTTTGTTCTCGCGATATTTCAGCCGCGCTTTGGGAATCAGAGGTAAATGGTAAACACAGCGTAAGGTAAGACAACTCTGAAGACCACCTAAATGTGGAATGTTAGTATATAGGCTTTCCACATCGAGAGTCGATGGCCACCCTTATTTATTTAAGTCAGAATACACTGAGGAAGAGCTGCATGAAATTGAAGAACAGAAGAGGAGAGAGAGAGAGAGAGAGAGAGGAACAACAGGTAGAGGACGACAGAGGAGGAATGGCTGCTGGAAGGCTTTAGCTCTGGAGATTGGTGGTGTAACGTTACCTGTGAATGCTGTACCCCAATGCCCACAGAAGAGGAATACCTCTGTTGCAAGGAATGGGACCGGTTGCAGCCTTAGCTAAATGGTAAACAACAAACATGGCACCACACCGGTAAGGTAAGACAACACGTTTACATGT